CCCTCTCTCTTTCTTCTCTCTTTCTCCTTCCTCAGTTCCTTTATGTGACTGGCATGTGCTTGTTCAACAGGGAAGCCTCAGAGAAAACTGTGGTGGGTTTTTTGGGTTTTTTGTTTGTTTTTTTGAATTGGGAGTCTCACTCTGTCGCCCAGACTAGAGTGTAGGGGCCGCTCCCGGCCACCGCAGCCTCGACCTGCTGGGCTCTGGCTATCCATCCGCCTCAGCTTTCCAAGTAGCTGGAACTACAGGCGCGCGCTACCACGCCCGGCTAATTTTGTTTTTTATTTTTTATTGTAGAGATGAGGGCTCGCCAAGTTGCCCAGACGGGTCTCAAACCCGCGGGCTCAGGCAATTCACTCACCTCGGCCTCCCAAAGCACGAGATTACAGGCTGAGCCACGGAGCCTGGCTGAAAACTGTTTTTTTAATGGGGCCAATAGGCCTCGATAAAAGCTGCCAGCCACCTCAAAGGCAAAACCAAGAATAAGTAGTAACATAGCTATTATTGTATTCTATTTACCAAGGTTGTCACAAGCCAAGTGAATTTCACGGGGAGGAGAACTGCCCCATCTTTTTTTATTTTTTTATTTTTTTGAGTTGGAGTCTCACTCTGTCGCCCAGACTGGAGTGCAGTGGCCGCTTCCGGCCACTGCAGCCTCGACATGCTGGGTTCCAGCAATCCTTCTGCCTCAGCCTTCCAAGTAGTGCCCCACCTCTTAAGAGAAAAGGTTGTCAAAGATTTTGTGGACATCCATAACCCACTACAGTTCTGCTTCTGGCTACTGATAATTTACATTGTCCCCATATGCAAAGTGCACTTACTACTCCTAATAATCTTAAAATGTCTTCCCATTATAACATTAATTCAAAGTCTAAGTTTTTTAAATTAAATTAGGTCATGGTGCAGACGACAGGGCTTCTTGGGCATTGTTCCTCAAGTATGGTACTTTGAATCTGAAAATCTTTCAATTAGGAAGTCAATTTATCTGCCCATCACATACTCAACGTATAATGATAAAGAAGATATAGGATGAAAATAATAGAAAATCTCATTCCAAAAAGAAAAAATAGGGGGTACATAAGTAATGTAGCAATTATGAAATCCAGTTAGAGACTTTTTTTTCACTCTGTCCTCTATAGTTCACAATGACAGAACTGAAATTGATGATATCAGTAAATTATTTTTAAAATATTTGAAAGTCTGAGTATTCCTATTAAGATTTAGTTAATTATACAAATGCCAGGCCCACAAATGTCCTTGAAACAGGATTCTCTCTGGCTTGGGCTGGGAGTCAGAGTATTATGGGACAACACCCTTAAGACTTCTGTCTATCTTCATGCCAGTACCACACTGTTTTATTTACTTTAGCTTTGTATTATAAATTGAAATCTGGAAGTGTGATGCCTCCAATTTTGTTCTTTTTTCTAAAAATTATATTGACCATCTGGAGTCTCTCTTGGATCGATATGAATGTTAGAATTGCTTTTTCTACTTCTGTAAAACAAATGGCATTGGGATTTGATAGGAATTTCACTAAATCGGTAGATCACATTAAGTAGTAAGAATCACTTTAACAATATTAACATTTTCCACTCCGTGCACACGGGAAATTGTGCTATCTTTGATTTTTTTTAAATCAGTGTTTTATAGTTTTCAGTATGCAGGTCTTTACCTCCATGGTGAAATTTATACCTAAGTATTTTTTGATACTATTGTAAATGAGTTTGTTTTCTGAATTTTGTTTTTGGATAGTTTTGTGTTAGTGTATAGAAAACCATCTGATTTTATACGTTGCTATTGTATTCTACAACTTTGCTAAATGTATTAGTTATAACAGTGCTTCATGAAGTCTTTAGGGTTTTCTATGCAGAAAATCATACCATTTGCACACAGAACCTTTTTTACTTTTTTTCCAATTTAAATGCCTCTTTAGAAAATTAAAACAGCATGAATTTAAAAAAACAAAAAGCTCAGGAGATTGGCTTCAAGATGGCTGACTAGAGACATCTGGTACTTGCCTCTTCCACAAAGAAGATCCAAAATAACAAGTAGATAATCACATTCCAGTTAGATTATCTAAGAAAGAACACTGGAATTCAAAGCAAGGAAGGAGAGGGAAGCCAAGCAGTGTCCTCAGCTGGGATAAGCTAGAAATACAGAGAGGCTCTCTAGTGTAGGCAAAGAGTGAGTGACTCCACATTCACATCCCACAACCACCTGTATCCTAGCCATGAAAAAGCCCCTAGACTGATAGTGAAATAGCCAAAAAAGAAATCAAGAAGGCAATCTCATTTACAATAACTACAAAAACTAAAAATAAATTTAACCAAGGAGATGAAAGACTTTTGCAAGGAAAACTACAAAGCACCTGGTAAAGAAATCAAAGAGGGCACAAACAAATAAAAAGATACCCCGTACTCATACCAGAAGAATTAATATTATTAAAGTGATCATACCATCCGGAGAAATCTACAGGTTTAATGCAATCTCACCAAAATACCAATATCATTTTTCAAAAAATAGAAAAAAAATCCCAAAATTTATATAAAACCAAAAAAAAAGAGACAAAAAGTCAGAGCAATTCTGAGCAAAAAGGACAACTGTAGAGACATCACACTACCTGACTTCAAAATATATTAAAAAGCTATAGTAACCAAAACAGTGTGGTATAGGTTTAAAACAAAAAAAAATCTAGACCAATGGAACAGAATAAAGGACCTCAAAATAAATCCACATATTTACAACCAACTTTTTTTTCTACAAAGGTATCAAGAACATACACTGGGGAAATGATACCCTCTTTAATAACCTGTGCTAAAAAAAATTGAATATCCATATGCCAAAGAATAAAATGAACTCCTATCTCTCATCCTATACAAAAATCAAATCAAGACGGATTAAAGACTTTATTGTAAAATCCCAAACTGTAACATGATGAAGAGAAAGCATGAGAGAAATACATTGATGGGCAAAAATGTTATAGTTAAAACCTCAGAATCACAGTCAACAAAAACAAAAGTAGACAAATGGGATGATATTAAACTAAAAAACTTCAGCATAGCAAAGGAAACAATCAACATAGTGAGGAGACAACCTGTTAAATGGGAGAAAAATATTTGCGAAAAATAAATAAATAAAATGGCTTTTATTAAAACTGGAAAATTCAAACATTTTTAGGCAAAATAAAAAATTATTATTATTCTATACATACTAAAATATTGACCAATAAAATACCGTGATGACTTGGATTTGCTTTATAATAGGAGTAGAGCAGTGGGAAGAAGTATTTATGAAATAAGTTTTTTCATATGGTTGAAATGTTTG